CGGACCCCTGGTATGTGTGACTCAGTGTGTGCTGATATACTCGTGCTGTGAATGCGCTTGACTTGATTTGCATGCAACCATGTACCTGACCAAATTTTACTTTGTGCGAAGTTATGTGCGCGTGTGTGCTGGATTTCCGAAACCCAGTTAGCAAATGAGCTTGATAATTTGGAAAATTAATACCCGCCTTCTACGCTTTCGAATAGCAATATCAAATCAGCGTGAGCGTTTCTACATTGTAGATTGCTCACACATGGCAATGTTGCCACATTATTGGTATTAAATTCCTCTGGCAATTTTATATAAATTGAGAAACTTTTGCTTAGTGGGTTCTCCATACAGATTTATATACATTTCTACATATCACTCAAATCTGCCACTTAACTAAGCAAATAGTGGTAAGTGAAGCGTATGGAACAATTACAGTGACCACAAACTTTGCGGTGCCAGCCCAGTCGCTTTTGTTGACGTTGGAGCCAAAGAGACATTTGTAGTTGGGAAATTACATATTCCGGTAAATGTTTCATATCTGGAATGTCGGTAGGAAAATTTTATTAATAATATATTTACAAAAAGTTTTGGAAGTATTACGTATAGTCAAGAGTTTGAGTTAAGAGAGAGGATTTTCGTATAACTTATCTTATACATATATTCATATAAAAATTCTCGTCCTGTTTTTCACCATGCCTCTTGAGAAGAGAGTCCTTCACCAACTGTTATAACATATATCAAAGGTCATCCTAACCATTTTCACGTTTCGGCTTAGCTGTGATGAGCTTTAGCTCGAGTGGAATTTGGCATTATATTAGTTTGTCAAAAAAGTCTTGCGGTATTTTTATTGAGTTTTCAATTGTTCACAAAAATTTTTTTCATGACTCATGCCCAGCTCTTGATCGAGCTACGGCTGCTACTATGCCGGTCTCTTTCGATCAATTCAGCGATTTTATCGCAATTTTCGACGACAGGCCTTCCGGAGCGTGGCGCATCTTCGACCACCTCTACACCAGAACCAAAACGTTGAAACCATCGTTGTGCGGTTGAAATGGAAACTGTATCGGGTCCATAAACAGCACAAATTTTATTGGCGGCTTTAGGTGCATTTTTGCCTTTATCGTAGTAGTACTGTAAAATATGCCGTATTTTCTCTTTATTTTGCTCCATGTTTGCGATGGAGGACGACTTAAGAGAAACGGCAATCAATCAAACATGTGTTAGCGCGTGAAATGAGCTTTCCAAAAGGTATAGCATGACCCGATGCGACGAATAAAACCAGAACTACGCGCTCTCAGCGCCAACTAGCGAAAATACCGCAAGCCTTTTTTGACAACCAATATAATAATATACCAATAAATACTATGTAATCGGTAGAAAGACCATTTTCTTCAGTAAATTACCTCCAAAACTTTAATATTCTTAATATCATGAATAGGAACCAAAATTATACAACTCAACAAATGTAAAGAAAAAATTTGCAACGAATTTGAACACCCCTGACTACAACACAAACAATTTTTAACACCATTTTCGGTTTCGGCAAACCAAAATTAGCAAGAAACTGCCTCTAACATCATGGTCAAGAAATTGACTGTAAACTAGTGTCCACATGCATGTCCACGAGTATTTAAAAGTAAAATACATCGCAAATGCACGGTTCGCTCTCAATTAAATGTAAGTTATTTATTTTGGCGGATTAATGAGTAATACTATAATCTCAATTTTTACCCAATCTATTGGTTACATGAGCACATTTTCGATCGAGTAGGCGGACAGTGATATTTCGATTATTATTTTGATTATTTTGATCTTATCAAACAAACTTTTCAAATTTCGTGCAATATTTAGCCTGTAATTTTTATTTGTTTAATGATTATGTATGTCATTATGTTAAGTAAGTGATAAATGAAGGTGACATTAGGTATCATAACTGATGTCGGATCTCACTAAACACTTAATCCACCGGTGCTTAATGTTGTAAAAACTTCTAGCCTACGAGGCAAGTGTTAGAGAGATAGCAAGAGAGCTCGACATACCTGGCGAGTGCATTCGCATTATTTTGGCAGATATTTTGGGTATTAAAACACATTCATCATTATAACAGCCGATGAGTTTGACATACAAACAAGTAAACACTCATCGGACTGGAAGCCATTTTCAATCGATCGAGGAAATAAAAGAAAATTCGGTGAAGGAGTTAAAGGCCATTCCAAAAATTGTTACGAGAACTGAAAAAATCGTTGGGAGTGTATTACATCTGGTGGGGACTACTTTGAATACAAAAATTATTTATGAATAATCTTATTGAAAACTCGATCAAACTTGCTAATATTCATGTCATGTCCGCCATTTTGGTAACCAAAAGCACCTGATACCCTCGAATCGTCAAAAATTTACGTCGTCAGCATAAGAACTCAGTAACCACTAAGATATTGAAAATGGGAGAATCAGTCTTGAGTTGTACTTCTTTTCATCAGGGGCTTATTCAGTGCCCAATCCGCTACGATAGTTAAGACGCTAGGAAGAATATAAATAATAAATTTGAAATTGGATTCAAACTCGACGTGGACTCCAATTGGAGCAGAGTCACTGTACCTACCTCCAAACCTCTACTTTAGTAATGAGAGTGTATAGCAAATTACAAAGTAAAAATGAAACTTCTTCCAATCTACAATCTTAAAAGCTATTGGCATGCATCACTGTAGCATTACGTCCGCCAACACATAAAGCAAACACTCGTTTGGGCCCAACCGACCAAGCTACGACTTTAAAGAGCTCTCCACTCAACCAACGAATTCATGTTGAATTTCGATTTAGCAAGTAAATTGTCCATGGCAGTGGCAAAAAGCAAAACAACAACCTAAACACCCATTCTACTTTTACTTGTGCTATGTTGCAAAACGAAATTGCAATTGCCAATGACTTCGAATCCACGCAACATACAGCGACACAATCGCAGGCTCATGGCGGGCTCTTTCGTGCAGTCATTCAGCCATTTGTAGGATTGGAAGGCCACTGAATGCCAGCCGCTTGCCATTGATAAGTGTTGCAAGTGTGGCAAGTGCGTGCGAATGCAGCAGGCAGCAGCACCTACATACAACAACAGCATCACAACAACTCGATTGACTTGACAATTGCTCGCTAGTCAGTCACACTTTGCCGTCGTACGCCAGCCCAAATGAACGCCTTTACACACTCACGTGGCATGGCAGTCAATGAAACAATAGCAACATAAACTAACTGCAATTTGGCTGCGCTTTGATTGCTCTGACTTTCATTCGTATGCCGTGTAAAGCCTAACGGTCCAATGCCACAGCGGGGCGAGTTACAAACCCACTATTGAAGCATACGCTCGGCAGTGAATTGCAATGTGTTTTTTGTGGTTGCATGCCATCGTTTAGATATGCGTGTGTTTGTGCTGGTGTCTACACCATGTAGTTGCGGTCGAATCTGCGGTTTTTCTGTCACATGAGAATGCTCGAAAACAATACGCGTAAGCATATGCCTGAACTGAAGCTATTCGGGCGTTGTGAGTTTCAAGAAAAGTGTTTTGCCTTTGAACTCATTTGTGGCGGAGGCTGGCTATCGGATTGCTGGAAAGCCTACTTGGTGGTTTTGTGGAATATTTCAAAATTAATTTGAAATTCAAATTAGATCTTACAATGTGCTTTCCAAAGTTTGAATCTAACGTTCCCTGGTGGCGCCATCTGTATGACGACTGGTGCGTTAGAATCTGCTATCTTTATCAATCCAGTGAGAATTTCATGACTTTCATAGATTGGAAGTGAAGCTATTGCGTTTTGAGTCTCAATCAGCCCTATCACGCAATCCATCGTAGACTGTTTTTTCGGGAAAGTTACGAAACTGCTATCATGCAATTCGAACAGTTCGGAAAGTAAGTTCGAAATTCGTAGAGTTGCATTCACTGAATTCACTCGGAACGGAAAATTTTTAAGATTAGCGGAATTTTTGTACGACAGGTTTGTGTTAACGGAGAAAAAAAATTTAAAAAAAGAAAAATGTAAGTTTTAATTAAATTCACACTATAACACAGTTTTTATCATTAAAATAATATTCAATCCGATTTCCGCAGGCCCAAAGTAATTACCACAAAGCAACAATATGCACTAATGGTTGAGCTGTTACAGCAAAAACCAGAAATGGCGCAAGGTTTTACCAAGTGCCCAAAAGAAGAAGTGGCAGCTTTTTGGAACAACATGGCCCAAGAGCTCAACAGTGTTGGTCAGCCTATCAAGGATATTTCCAGATTTGTAGATTTTATTGTTGTAACAGGATAATTTAAAGCTTGTTTGACTTATTTTTTTTTAGGTATGGCTTGACTGGAAGGCAGTCAGCTACTGGTGGCGGCAGAAATAGGCAGCACCATTTCAATGAATTGGAAGAAGCGGTAATAGCACTAACGGCATTGGAAACCAGTACAAGTGGTATTGCGAATACAGTAAGCATCGGCTTACCTAATGTAGCAGACGTGGGCGATGAGACAGAGGCAGACGTTTCGATGCCATCAGTGTCCTGCAGTCCAGCACTGCCTCGACGTACTACTAGGCCACCGGAAAAAAGTACAGCAGACTTTTTAAAAGAACAACTTGATGTTCAAAAAGAATTCCAAGACAAGGTTCTCGACAAATTGGACGACCTTTCGTTACGTATGCGACGAGTAGGCAGAGCATTGGAAATGCAAAACGATTTTAAAAAAGCGGAAGTTGAAGAATTAAAAATACACAACGTAGCTATGGAAAATTTGGTAGCTGCTAAAAATCTCGAAGAACAAAAATTGCAAGCTATGACAAAAAATAATTAAATGAATTAAATAAACACTGAATTAAAACTATAAATATTTTGTGTTAATATTTATTTAGGATATTATACTCCTGTAAGTGTTTCACATATAGTTTCTCTGATTTGTGAAGCTGCAGCATTATAAGTTGATGAAACAATTTCATTACTTTCTGTAAAAATATTTGGTTCTGGTCCCGAATTATTTTCTAAACTTTCATCATTCACGCAATAGTGAATGCAAACGTTGTGTAACGCTGCCGCAACATTAACGATTTGAGATGCCTTCCATGGCTCGTAGTGAAGCTCACGAGCACCCAGAAGACATCTAAATCGATTTTTAAAAACTCCTATGGTTCTTTCAACGGTATTTCTCGCTTTTGAATGTATTTTATTACATTTCTCTTCTGGGCTTCCTGAGGGAGGGGTACGGAATGGTGTCATTAACAATGGTTCTAAGGCATATCCAGCATCTCCTGTACAAATATTAAATTTTGGGAATTTTTGTAATATATATATTTGTATGTATAATACCCAAAAGCCAAGTGTTCCGTTCACCATCGAGGTACTTTTTCTCATGAAAATAACGAGCATTGCTGACATTCCATATGTGGGAGTCGTGATTGCTGCCAGGAAACTGAGCATTCACATAACGTATTTTCATTTTATTATCACAAATCTGCAAAACATTGATTAAGATATTTGAAATGCGAATTTGGCACCAAACTTACAATCATGGCATTGATACTAAAGTATCCTTTGYGGTTATAATAGAGAAACTTATCTTTAGTTGGAGCAACGATTTTAATATGTGTCCCGTCTACACACAAAATCGCGCCTGGAAATCCGTATTTCTGAAAAAAATCCTTTCTCGCTTCACTTTTTTCAACGTTACTTAACTCGAGGTTTATCCACTGAGGACACAAATGGGACTGAAGCGATCCCAATATTTCTTTTAAGATGCAACAAACTGAGCCATTGGAATATCGAAGTCTTTACCCACTCCATGCTGATAGCCTCCTTCAGCTAAAAACCGTAAAACCGAAGACAATCGATGAAGTAAAGATATAGATGACGATCGTGAAGAACTTGCATTCCTCTCTAGAACATCGAGGACATACGTAAAGGCCACCTTATTTAAGCGATAGTTTTTAATAAACCTGTTTTAGAAAAATAATTTTAATAAAATTTAACAATGAATTTTTGTGGATTTTTGAACTGTACATTGTTTCGTCCACATCGAAAGGGTTGCTCTTGTCCCTCAGGGATTTTCGGTGAATTTTTATATCACGCCGACTTCTCTAACGTTCTTCCTCAAGCAACATAAATAAAAACGTTAGCGAATACATATTTTTTTCGTAAAATCAATTTGAATATAAACGATTTCACTTTTATTAATCAAAGTTTTAATTTTTTCTTCTACACAGCTGATTTCGAAATGTCAAAATTCAAAATTAAGTCTGGCAACAAAAGTTTCGAATTCACATGAATTCAATGATAGCAAATTATGCGTATTCGTAGCGGACATTCGTATTCGTAGCTTCGCTACGATGGATTGCGTGATAGGGCTGAATATGTTTGTGCTATCGGTGCGAAAATGAGATTCGAACAAAGGACGAACGTTAAATTTTGTTTTTAAATTGGTAAAAGTATTACCGAAACGTTTCAATTGATGAAACGAGTTTATGGCGATGATTGCCTTGTCCTAGCAGAGTGCACGAGTGGTTTTAACGTTTTCAAAGTGGTCGTGAGGACATAAATGACGATCAACATGTGGGCCAATCAAAATCTACGATTACCGAAATTCCATCGAAATCATCATTGAAATTCATGGAAATGGAATTGAATATCTCCAAAACATCGATTTATCGCATTTTGACCGAACATTTGGGCTTACGAAAGGTGTGTGCACGGTTTTTTCCGCGCAAATTGACTGACGACCAAAAATTGCTCAGAATCCCAGATTCGATAGGCGCTTGTGACCGATTATTTGACCAAACATCACATTTTAATCATTAACCACTCCCCGTACTCACTTGATATGGCAAAGTACGACTTCGTCCTTTTCGGAAAAATGCATTTGCGCATGAAAGGAAAGAGTTATGCAGACGTAGAGGCCATTCAAAAGGCTTGCACCGGCATATTGCCGGCCATACCGGCCAACGAGCTAATACATACGTTCGACATTCTTTTGGGCTATGCAAAAAGCTATATTGGAGGAGAAGGAGACTATTTTAAATAAAACTAGCTCACCCCGCAGCCCTTGTCCTGCGTGAAATTATGTGTTTTGAAATGAAAAGAAAGTTGAATCTATCATTTCCTTTTTTTTTTCAATGTAAAGTTGCTTGATAAACGACATTTTTTGGTTTCTGTTTCAGTGTACAGAAAAGATGGTTTTCAAACTCGTGAGCACGCCACGTATATCTCACCCTGTGAAAAACATAGCACTTCTAAACTTGGCAAACCAAGTTGTGTCTCTGGAAGCGGAATACGTTTGAACCGAAATGGCAAATCATTGAAACTCAAATGAATTCGTAGAATCAAGCATTATGTCCACTTGTATTCGATAGGTGCATCACAGTCAGTCGGATTCCATTACACAGTTTCGGTGCATGAAGATTGCGAAACATAATAACGACAGATCCAACTTTGAGACGCAAATGATGCGGTGGCATACCAAGCCTCTACAAAGAATTTAGAAATTCCACTGGATAATTGTCAAGACGATCGATCGATTTGTATGAGCGCAAGTCTCCCGAAATTTTACTTTGAATCTTCCAGTTTATGTCAACAACATTGCGCGTGCACTTAAGGAATCGTAGTAACGATAATTTGGCCAATGTTGGGATAAACATTCGTGATGAGTTCATCTTTCGTGAATTGATAAACCGCGAATGGAATTGATGTCAAACCACCGTAAGTATCAACCGGAATTTTCGTTCGCCGGCTTACTTCTCCAAAACTGCACACACCGTACCAGTCAGAGTTCGCAACGATTCAAATGAAGTTGAACCGCGAACATTAATCGAAGGTAGAAACCATCGTCATTTTACGCGTAGATTGTATAAATTCGTCTTAAGTCGTCTTAAGGAAAGAGAGTTGAGAACACACCTGGATGTCAATCTACTGGTTTGCCTTCCTTTCTGCGTAACTATTTCTTCGACGATGCATTCCATGTATGTAAAGTTGAGAAAAAACTCGTAAATGTTAATTTTGTTGCTGGCGGTATTTTCATTTGCTGTACTGTATTCTCTGAGTCGAAATATATTCTTTGGTCATTCTCCAAATTAACTGCGAGACGCACAACGGTCGGAAAACAGTTATGAATTGCAAAAGTAAATACCATACAAAACGCTTTATTGCAGTTCACGTATCGACCATTTGATACTTGCTGATCTCATCTCGTTCAAGACCAATAACCGCCATGTTGCTTCCTTTAGTGACGTACTTACAAACGTATTTTATCGACCAAACTGCAATACTCAAAATTGATATGAGTTTCGAATGTGATTTAGACATAGTGAGTTGTCAATTTCGATATTTATTCTTCTAAATTGAATGCTGATTGTTCTGCCATTGTCGTCTGGTGAGCTACGCCGATAGAGTGGATATCCATCATTTCTAGTTTGTGTATCCGAAAGAGAAGCACGTGGATAGTGTTTCGTGCATTTATTGTCAGCCATACAAACCGAAAAGGGAATGTAATGTTCGAGAGGTCCATGGATCTATCCAATTTTCCGACTTTTCCTGATGAAGAGTATAATGTATTTTTATTTTTAAACCTTCCCCGATCCACAACGAACCTCTAAAAATTTCATCAAGATTGGTGCAGCCGTTCTCTTAGCGAGGGCTGTTTTTAGGGGATTCCGGGAAATTATTCGAAATCTTCTTGCCGTAAAAACCAGCCTTGAACCTCAACGGCCACATTAAAAAAAAGGATTATCAAATTTGGTTCAGTCGTATGAAAGTTATGAGCGTACATACATTTTGGCGATTCACTTTTATTTATATAGATAATAGATAAATTGATTTTGCCGAAAAAACCATGTGTTCTTTTTATTTTTTGTAAATCCTGTTTATTTTGGAACGCAGCTTGTATATTTGTTGGAATATGGTGATAGTGATTTTTTGATCGAGCTTGTTTGGCATTGCCTTGGCAGAATTTAGCGATTTCTATGCTAGATAACCCATTACAATTCATATAGAGAAGGGGAAAATTTTAAACGGTAATTAAAACTGGAAGAGTTCACGTAAGTAAGGAAAGATCTCCCATTCACTTGGGAGTGACCAGAAACGATTATTTTACATATGGCTCAGGTAGCTTACGACCTCCGGTCTTTGACCAAGTATCCTCTGGGTAGCCTAAGAACATCCGTTTGAAGGTAAACTGAAGTTAGAAGGCGAAACATACCATTCACAGGATTGTGCGCTGGGTTTGGGACCCGCCACGAAAAAACAGTACCGATGAAAACTAATCGACAGCCTCGGATGAGAGAGAGATGGTTATCTATAGTACTAGATTCAAGCATAAGAAAACTCATAAAGCAACCTGGCTGTCTCCGGATCGAAAAACTATCAACCAGATCGATCGTGTTGTGATAGACGGAAGACACGTCTCCAGTGTTTTAGATGTGCGTGCGCTGCGAGGTCTTAACATCGACTCGGTCCACTATCTTGCTGCAGCCAAGATTCGCACCCGCCTCTGTGCAGCAAAAAGATAATTTCGTCAATCTTGGAACCAGTATAAGCACCACCAACAATGTTAGCCTGGAAATCCAACGTAGTATAACTCTTGCCAACAGATGCCACTTCGGACTGAGTAGTCTCAATTGCCTAAAAGGTAAAGTAAAGTCCTCTCTCGACGAACAAAAACAAAACTGAATAATTCACACACCTAAGCAAACTTGTGATAGGTTCAGAGGGTTTTTGCCGATAGCTGATACCCAACTACGAGAGTATTTCGTCTGAGTTAACAAAGAACTGTACATAACTATCTAAATGTGATCACCCGCCATGCTGAGGAATCAGAAATCTAATCTCAGCGCTATAAAGTATCCTTAAAAAGTATTATAAACACGCTTTGAGGTTACTGGCATCTCTTATCACCTTAACCTTGTTCACAATCACTGTTAGCAACCCTGCACAGTGCGAAGAGATCCTGAATTATGGGAATGGAGCTTTTATTATTACTCTCTTGTAAATATACTCTAAATTTTCCAGAAATCTTTAATGAAATGGAAGTCCAATAAAAGAAAGTTACATAACGAATACAAACTGCCGTGCAGCGAATGCAACAAATGAAATGTGTTTCCATTAATGTCACCTTAATGCACACACCAACACATGCAGACGAACTTCACGCGAACCTTATAAAATTTATTTCTGCACTTTAGCAGCGAAGCGAAATTCTTGCAAAAATTGTAATCTCCTGTGAAAGTTTTGTGCCTTTACAAGGATATATGAGAGAAAAGCAAGGCGCACTCCTGCCAACACAAAAACTCACATACACACAACTGCACGCGCGCACACATGAAACAAATTACTTGGGTAACAATAGAAATTAAAAGCCAACGAAAGCAAAAATTGCTCATAACAAAAAAGAATAACGGAGCAACTCACGAAACACTCGACAATAAAGAATTGCACAAGCAAAGCAAATAAGTG